GTGACCGAGGGACCACTTTATCTTGTCTTCTTGACTGAACCCTTTGCTTGATGACTGTGTTCTTGCATCGTGGGCATTTCCTTTCGCCACATTGCGGACACGCGACAGTGTGGTGGGCGCTGGGGTTTTTCACGTGACACTGGCAACACTGCCAGGCGTCGGAAGTGACGTACTCGGGGTTGTTGGCGTTATTCCCGTTGCCGCTCATTTTGAGGTAAAGCTGTGGACTGATAATACAAACAAGAAGTGAAGAGGGAAAATCCGAGATTCTCTGGTTGACAGAAGGGCTTATAACGTGAAGGAAGCTTCCTCCATTTATAGCCGGGCTCTGCTTGAAGGGTCCATCTTGCAGAAAGCAAGCCCCTATTGCCAAATACTTCAAGTTTCAATGAAGGTGCCCAATCACAGCCACAACCAGGCAAACTCTCGTCTTTGCGAAAGACGTCAAACTTTGTGAGTAATGGTGCGTTCGTAGAGGAGTAATGATGCCGGGCATTGACGAAGACCCGCGGAAGGAGTCAGAGCTGTGGAATTCGAATGATCATGGCAGACTGCCAAAGATACGAAAACATTGGTGCGACGGCTCGAAGGCGCCCAGAAGAGTACAAAAGGACGGCAGGGAAATTTGCATGAGCAGATAGGCATACTCGTAGTCCCATCGCCATTTGCTCGATGAAGTGGACCCAGGTAGGCTCTGGCTGAGGGTTTGACCAGTTGTGTTGAGCATCGAGCCAAAAAAAATCTCATCATCCGGCAGAAATATCGACGCCATGACAATTGCGTGTTTTTCGTCTTCTCTCCAGAAGAGGCTGTGACATATTGGCCGCCTAGGAGCCCTCAAACAGGTGGAGCTAGAACATCAGACAGGTTTCGTGACCAGCCAGCGAGCAATAGTTGTTTTTTTCCCAGGCAGTGGAAATTCACCCGATACGACGCTACGATTGGCTGCCTATCCAGCCCACCACAAGGCGAAACTCCCTGAAAGGGAGAAAAACCTCACACGTCAGGGGGGAAGACCAAAGGCTAGGCCTCAACTACTGGAGCAGCCTGGTTCAACCGTTGTCAGCTCCAAAGGGGCTGAAATTGATCTGCTAGAAGCATAGTAGAATCATTCGTGTTGATATCCGCCCCATGTGGAGTCACACAAGATCCCAACTTTCATCTTGCTCCTAGATCGATCCATGTTGTCGGTAGCTGAATCCGAATTGGCGCAGTGTTGCATCTGAGTGCCACGTCGGAGACACGGGTGTGAGTAAATCTGAGTCCTTCAGACAAATTCACCATATCGAGTCAGAGAAGAGGGTAGGTGGATCGCTGGTCCTGGCAGCATGTCGGGATTTGGCCGGCACCCAGTCAACGAGTCTACTGACTCATGCGTGACCATCTGGGACTGCACAGTGATTTGGCTCAGATAGATCACGGCCAGTTCGGCGTGGTACACAGAAACACCCGGTTATTGCGGGATGTCTACTCGGTAGAACTGAGTTGACGTTGGGAAAGGCTTGAAAGTCCTGCCTGGCAGCCTGCTGGGCCGCAGGCAGCGCTGAGCACTAGCGTCTTGGCGTAAGGCTCGGCTGACAAGGCTGGCCAATCACAGATGCAGTCAGAGAATTTGCTCGATACGTCTCATCGGGCTCCCCGCCACTTTTCCCTCCTCGAAGCATCATTTATGTGGCCAATACACCTGTGTGCGGGGCGCTTGGGCGGTGTGATGTCCCTGATTAGACTTTACACCGCTGTGAAAGGGCCGTTGTGCTCCTTCCATTCAACATTCTTTCACCAAACCCCACTTTTCAACCTGAAAACGCCAAAGGGGCTCAGCCTTGTACAAAACACATCAAGTGGTTGACTCGTGACTTTCTACGGTTCGCACTGTTCGCACTGTTCGCCTTTGGGGCAAATGGGCTTAGCAGGGGCGCAGTAGTCCCAAGTCAGCCCTAGTAACCTTGATGTCTATCGTTGGAACTAGATACACCATTCCGCAGTGTACGTCAACCCTGCTCTGTAAGGCATACAACTGAGGTCACGGGGCACAGCTTCTTCAAGAAAAGTCTCCGAAAGTCTCCCGATCTATAGCCAGAGATTGGAGAACAGGGGAACATCGGGTGTCCGGAATTCTCGCACTGCTGCATTTGCTAACGCAGGCACGCATCTACAGTAGAGATGTGCGAGACACTAGAACCTGAAGCATCTAGCCAGCCGCCGAGAAGCTTGACCTCTTGTGGTCCTTCCTGCATAAACCAAAGCATTCATAAAGCAGACAATTTTCCGTACCACGACTCTTCCGCATATCTTGGCTCTGACAAGTGATTTGGTACCGAGACCATTGTCCCTCTTGCTCGAACGCTCAACCTCTTGGGATCTTATGCGGTCGTGGTTTCAATGCGGCACCTGGCACAGCGCCGCTTCTGACAATTGGCGCAATCCGAATTGATCTTGACAGTCATGGGCCCATGACCACACTCGCAGCAGTACCAGACGTATACGACAGCGTCGGCCAGCGTCGAATATATTAGAGGAGTTCCGTGGCAAGTTGCGTATGAGAAGGTTCGTGGAGCATGCTCAAGTTTGCCGGTATCTTTTTCTAGTGACCACAGTGATGCTGTGAATCCCATCTGCTGCTGAGCTTTTGGCAGGGACGGCGCACGCTTGAACATTTCAAGGCTAGACACTCATTTCAGTGATGTGCAGGCTTCATACTTTGGTCACTTACCACATATTGACCTGTATTAATTTGATGGAATAGTCGTGGCTGTTATCTTCGTAGCAAGAATGACGAGAACGATGAAGAAGCCTGGTTGTAGCGGTAGACCTCTCCTTATCACCACCGTCCCTTCAACATTCAGGCATTTACTTTGCTGGGTTTCCAAGGACTTGCCCAATTGAAGGCTGTGTGATCGCCCCGTCGCAGGTTAAGATATGGATACACAAACTTCATCTTGAAGCTGCGCACGAGTTCTTCGCTGAAACGAAGCTCACAGAATTGAAGGGAGGGGCGTGGCGCAGGTTTGCAGGTTCTGAGACGGCAAAAAGTGCTGAAATGGAACGAATGAGAGGCGAGAGAACCTAGTGTACAGGACTCAGCCCAAAGTTTGGGAAGCCCATTGGTCTTTTGATGAGGGCCTATGTAGGAATGACTGGAACTAGGGTTCCACTCGAACAGCCAGATTCCCTAGTCAGTCCCCAAGGGCAGGAAATCTCGGAGCGGAGAATTTCCAGCAACCATATTACCCTGCTTGTCAAACTGGAGCGGGCATGCATGAGCTCGATAGCACGGGAGTTCAAAGCCCAATCACTTGCTTCACAGGGCCCCGAGCGCGTAGGATGCAGAACTTCGAAGCGGATCCAAAGTTTCCAGTTTTGTTGCAGTCTTGACGCCTTCTTCGAGGCAACCATGAGAGGGGCTTCAAAAGTTGCAATATTCGCCTGAATGGTAGCATAGCCATCACACCACCCGCCACGAGCGCCTACCTGGTGAAAACCCCCAAAACTTATGTTCTCAAAGTTGTGAATTTCCATCTCGATCATCAGATCGCAAGGCGACTTTCTAGCACGACTGCTCAGCGTTGCCCATTGGTCGGTCATAGGAAGGCTAATGCGTCCACAGCTTGAGGCGGGAAATTGGAGCAGGCTGTTGCAAGAGCTGACACTTCCGCGCCCTAGCATCGAGCTGTCGTGTGTATTCTTGAGGTTTATAGAGGATAGGGGCATGATCGAATCATGAAGCCCTGGTTGTGGCTCAGCTCTCACCTTTGAGCCCACAGACTGTTGTGGAACAACAGTCTTTCGAGCCTGCGATGCAGCAGCTTCGATTCTAACCCCATTTCTCGGGCCAAAATGGCATTTTTAAGTTCCGCAGCCGCTTTGAGGATCGAGACCAGGCATTTCAGATGTGTTGTAACTCGAAACCTGTGAACATGAAACGTATTCTGGCGCATTGTCAGGCAACACCATTAGCCCCACGAATCAACCGTCGAGGCGAATTCATGATCACGCTCCGAGTTCTTCACAGGCAAGAGAAACCTGCCGGGCTTATACTGGGCTTAGCGTCTGCCTTCGGGCTGGAGGGCATTCAACCAGAGAATACCAGATTCAGAACCAGATTTTACCACGGTCGGAAGTAATAGCTTGTAGCTCTCACAGTAACAGGACTCCTGCCGCCGATTTGGGCCCGACTAAGTCAATTGGTAAGCGTCTCGAGGTAGGGCACTGCAAAATACTTGTCCACGCTGCTCCGGCGCCTCCAGCCCTCGAAACCCGCATCCTTCGCATTGTAGAGATCCTGCCATACTCTTAAGTCTTCTTCTGTGTAATTGCCAACCTCGAAAGTCGAGTCAAAGTGATCTTCGGCTGATATGTAGCATGCTTAAGGACGGGACATTGATGCATATCCTGCGTCCATATCCGTGCTACCTTCGCAGGCACGCACTCCTTTCAATATGCGGAAACGGTGTTGCCTAAGGCGATCTCTCGTGAGTTAGCGTCACTTCCTCAGAAAATAGATAGCAGTTTGCGCGTAGAGGGATTGACGTCTGCAGATTGACGGCTAAAGCGTAGAACAATTCTGCATGCTCTCAATGAGGGAAGGGTTCCCGTTCGGGTTTAAAGGGTGAGCTAGAGATATCCAATGAGCCGACAGGAACGAAGATAGCTGGTCCTCAAATACGACAGCGAGGAGGTAAGTGCAAATTCAGGTAGCGATTCAAGGGGGATGAAGGGGAGTCTGAATGAAACCTGAATGTCGCTGACTAAGAAAGTGGTAGCAAAAAGGGGTTGAAGCCTGCAGGCTGCGGCTTGACTGCGTTGAGTGTCACTCCCTCCTGGCCCCCACTAGTGTCTACCAACAAGCAGTAGGATCATCGGAAGGTAGACGGCGAGACGGCCTGCAACTCAATCTCTCGCTTCTGTCGATTCAACCCCCAATCTCCATCCACTGGAGGCACGAAGACTTCATCTGACCTATCACGGCTTCCCATGAAACATTATCAACTCTGTTCGAGATGTCTGGCAAAGACGGTACTAGCGGAGAAACCGGCTCCTCCGTCCCCTCCGTCCCCTCTGGGAGCTCATACTACCCGTACCAGATCATCAAGTCTGGCGTCAACAATGTAGTAAGGTCATTCCTGAGATTTCTCAACCTCCTTTTCGGCTAATTGATTGGTTCAGGGGAATGGATGGGACACCCGCATTCGGCCTGGAGGCTTTGCCTCCCACTACTCCAATGCTGGTAAGTGCCCTTTGGTCCATGTCCAAGCCGTACTGATGCTTGCTATTGCAGATGGCTCCTACTACTACTCCAATGCCAACGGTACTACATACTATGACAATGGCTACGGAGGCTCGATCTATACAGCTCCCAGTGGCTACGTCTACAAGAAGTGAAGGAGAGTGGAAAACACCAAAGAACTGGGTGCTTGACGTGGAAAAAGACTTCTCTAGCAAATCACATGTGTTACATTAGCAGCACATACGGAGTATTGTGTGGAAGCTTCCGGGTCCTAGATGAAGAACCACATGGTATAGGTAACGATCTCGATCGACCAATCACGACAGTATCAATGAAACCATAGAGGATGACACACGCCAGACAAGACTGGCCAGGCGTCAGGGGCGAACCATCAAAGGCACTGAACGTGCATCGAATATCTCACTAGTCATGGGTATTCCCGCCCTATTCACTTGAAACAGGTCTACTGCTTGTATGCGAGTATGGTGGGAGCTATCCGCAGGGAGTGTCTTAGACATTGGAGATTTATGTTGTAGCACCTTCGGGTGCCATCTGTACAATAGGCCAACGGGTTATGACAACTTCACTGTGATGTGCGTCAGAGTAGCAGACGTATTCTGGACTCAAGATCACCAGAACGGTGGGGTTTGGTATTGGTGGGGGACCAGATCAAACATGAAACAATCCAAGTTCCGGGACAATACAGATGTTGAGAACACAATTTAGTATCTCGTTTTTCATTTTTGCACTTTTATTTTTACTATTTGATTTAGAAATATTATTAGTATATCCTTATATAGTAAGTGCGTATACTAACGGCGACAAACGTGGTGCTGCCTACTAGAGTCCTTGCCTGGCGTCATACCACGTTTGAACCATGTAAGCATACCCCTTTAGAGATTTGGACAGCTAGGTTGAGGACCATGCCCTTTACCACGTCTACGAAAGACCGTAGATTGTCTCTTCGCTAAACGCCTCGGTCGGGGAGGGCAATTGTGACTGGGGCTCTCAGACAAACAATGAGCATTCAAACTACTACCTAGGCAAACTCCAGGACGGGACAGCGAAAAGAGTACTCGGTAGAGCACGAGAGGAGAAGGTACGGAGAATCACAAAACTGGACTGCGCAGCTACTCTTTGGGCGCTATGCGCCAACCGAAATTTTCCAACCTGCGTGCCTACGTTTTCCAATGCGCTGACCTTCCCCAGGGCGGTTGATGACCATCACTGTTGTTTGTTGAGATAATTCTGTCTTTTGTATGGGTGTGCGCCAGCTCTGGAGGCCCTGTCTCTCCCTCGAGAGCTTTCAGGCGCCATGCAGGCACTGGTCAAGCTGTCAACTCCGACTTTCAGGGCACAGCAAGTGGGCAAAGATCAAACATGACAAGGGCAAGGCGGATGTCGCGAAGAGCAGGGTCCGCACCCACCTATCTGCGGATATTATAATGGCCTCGAAGCGTAAGGGACGAACGGGTTAAGTTCATGGAGTACAGGCACTAACTACAATACAGTGGGCGGGCCCGATCCCACCATGAACTCCAGACTGGCTCATGCTATCGCCGTGGCGAAGAAAGGCCAGCTCTCGAAGACTGCCATCGAACATGCCATCGCAAAAGGACAGGGGATATCTCCGAGCGGCCAAGCTCTTGACAATGTGACCATCGAGGCCATGCTCCCTCACGGCGTCGCTGCCATGATCGAGTGCCAGACAGACAACAAGGCGAGGACTTTGACTAGTATCCGGAATATCATTACCAAAGCCGGCGGCACAGTAACCCCCACGGCATTTATGTTCGAGAAGAAGGGCCGCATTTCGTTTGAAGAGCAGGAAAAGATCGGTGTTGAAGACGCCCTGGAAGATGCGATCGAGGCGGGAGCCCTTGACATTGCAGCGGAAGAGAACAGATTGGTTGTCGAGACAGAACCGGCCGATGTCATGGCTGTTGCTCAGAAGCTGCAAAGCAAGCTGGGAATCCAAGTGGAAAAGGCAGAGGTGGTCTACATGCCGAACGAGGATTCAATGGTTTCGCTATCCACACAGCAGGAGGAAGAGGTGCAGGCTATTCTAGACTCGTTAGAGGAAGATCCAAGTCTTCAGAATCTGTATATTAATGCTGAGCCTGCGTGAAAGGCTAGCCTATCAATTCAGAAAACAATTGTCCGTGCTCATAATGAGGAGGCACTGTAGCCAGCACTCCGAAGACGGCTGCGCCCTGCAAACTGCGGCAAGGTGCAACTCCGGCGAAGCACTCGTATAGCCAGCGCAGTCTCTCAAGCGTGGCCTCAACTGATGTTGAAATTTGGTCAAGAACATCCAATACATAGTTGTCTATTATATGCCATAGCCTTTCGACGCCGTTGGGATTGCTGACTCCTGGTCCCTGAGCCTTTCTATTCTGTCCCTGGCATTGTCCGATAGGTGTGTTTGTTTGCCTCTATCAAGACCACATTCCGCACCTGGTCCAACCACCGACATGGATCCCACGACGACAATTCCCAACTGGCAGAATGCCTTCGAGAACCATCGCATCCCACAAACCCGGGTGATTGAAAAGCAATTGCGAGCCAGTGCCGCACAGAATAAAGATAAGCTGCGTGCTCTTGTCGGGTAGGCTGTCTCTCCTTGCCTCCGCCCTGAACGTGCCAACTTCGCGATACTGACTCTCTACTTGGAAAACCAGTGGCAGTTATCGCGAGCTTTTGGCAACAGCCGAAGCCATTGTCGTCTTAGACGGACAGACAAGGGCTGCAGAGGACAAACTCTTGTCGATCAGTCACAATTGTAGACCACCTCCGCAAAATGCCATTCCCCGACCTCCGCCCGCAGACAAAGTTGCGCTGGCTCAGTTTCGCCTTTTACAACGGTGCTGCATGTCTGTGGCTTCATGCCTTCGGAATCAACATATCTTGCTGTGTGCACAGCTCATTGTTGTCTCGAGGTTGTTGCTGAAATCACTGGGTGACCAGGACTTACTAACTAGGAGCCTCGATTCACTACGGAACAAACATGGTGCACTTCGGAGGCAACTGCTTATGCGAATCGAAGCTAGGTTGATTAGACCTATGTCAACGTTGTCTGATCTTCTCGAGTCCATTTGCGCTTACTGCCTAATCACCAGCAGCTCTTCGGAGGCTGCCTTGGGTCATCTGCGCCAGCTGAGGCTTGAGAAGATCCGACGTCAATTGGCGGCCTCTCGCCAGAAGTCCACCTTTTGTCAAGCCTTGCGATACCAAATATTATCCTTGCAGACCTTCAAGTCTTTGACAGGACGCCCCATAGTCGATTCTATCAGTAATCTGCAGAAGAGACCGATCTTGGAGGATCCATCCATCAGAGACCTGGAGTCTCTAGGCCTTGACCAGATTATCTCATTGATTCCGCAGGAGATACGGTCATTCGTTCCCTACTTCAAGAGAAGTGCACCCACATTCGAGGAAACCCAGGCTAAGCTGGAGACATGGTCACGAGAAAGCTTAAAGACATTCTCTGATGCGTTGCACCAATATCTTCCGGCGACGGACTCGATAGCAGAGGTACTGCAGTTGCGGCACGAGCTGTATACTATTCTTCTTCCTTTCTACTTTTCGACTCCGGCGGGGCCAGACATCAAGGATCAGATTGCGCAAGCTCTGAACAAGAGAGTGAACGACATTTGCCACGATAAATGTGCTCGCCTTGCTCATATCACAACGCTGCTCCTCGACAATCCGGCTAGCACAACCACAAAGTCATTATGGGATCCAGAGCTCGCACTATTGAATCTAGAGGCTGGGGGAAATAAGCTCACTACACGCATCCGAAAGCGACACGAAGGCCATAATGTGGCATTATCTAGGGCTTCAAAATCATTGAATACGTGGATCACAACCACAAACAGTGCGTTTGGTCAATTAAATGACATTTCAAGGATAAGATGGAGAGATGTTGTTGAAGAGCCAGAGGAGGAGAATGAAGACGAAGCCTCTAGTTTGATCAAAGATCTGTGCGAAACGGATTCAAGTCTATACCGCGACAGTCTGCAAAATGCGTTAGAGACGGCGTTGCTCGAATACGAAGCAAAATTCACCCAGAGAGCAGCCCAGGTGGTAGATGAGCCAGACTCTGTCTCCCAAATTGTGGCATTGCTACGCGCCATCAGATTTTCGATGATGTCCTTGCAGCATACTTTTCCCGAGCAAGCCAGATTCGAGAAGCTCCCTAAGATTGTCCGGCAGCTGCATCAGCTCGTGGCGAAAGAGGTCAGCCTTCAGTTATCTGCGTCAAGAGAAGGCAGGAAGAAGACGAAGAGATGGAACAAGGACATGTTGCTTGACAATATGCCTTCACCCTGTGCATTCTCAACTCTACGACAACTTTGTGGGATAATGCTGGATATTGGTGGCACCGATTTATGGTCTTTTCCAGTGGTTGAACTGGTCAAGGAAGCTGTTAGATCTCATATCTTCAGTCCTGAGCGCAAGGCCTGGTACATGGAGAACGAGTTCGACGAACTGTATCTCAGTATTGCACTGGGACGAGATGCATCAGCTATGGCCAGGGATAAAGCGAATATAAAGTCTGCGTCTGAGTACTGGACAAGGACGAAGTTGTTGTTCGGAGTGCTTGCCTAGGATATGCATTCAGGCACGGCACAGCATATCATGGACCACCACCTCATAAAAGAGGCGCGGGACCATGAAGTATTTTAGATGAGATGGGATAATAGAAACTACGTATGTCAACGGAAAGCGATGTATGTACAGGCCCAATTACGCCGCTAAGATGTATATGTCGGTACATGTAAAGACCACACCTACATTTCTTACTGTCTATTGTCATTCCCATATCCATTCTAATACATTGATGCGGGAAAAGGTGCATCGGCGAGGCTCTAGAAGGTCGTGATCTCAGCCTCGTAAGCCGGATGCCGGATGCCGGAAGAACTTTTGATCCGCAGCAGCCCCGGCCCCCCTATTCAACGCCTTCGTCTCACATTCACCATCCCTCTTTTCAATCCTGTCATTCCACGTTGGCGACACCATATTCTCGTGGCTTGGGTCAATGTACACCTGCGAAATGTATGCAGAAACCAATGAGGAGCCGTGAAAATGACGGTCACGCGGAGTGGCTCACGATAGCCCGTTATCATCTGCACGGCGAACCTCCTGCGTGGAGATATCAATTTCAGCACATCGTTCAAGCCCCACGCTGATTGCTGGGCCATACGTTCAGACGAGATCTTTGCCATAAATCTAGGACACCGAAGAATGAATTAGCACTGCCTGACCAGCAGGTCTAACGGGGCCTTATCTGTGTCTCTTCGCCTCCGCCGTATGTCAAGGCGTGGCGTTCCATCTTGGGCAGAGGGGCGCTGCTGCGGCTACATCGACGACCTTCGGGACTGATCAGTCTTCTCTCCAAAGATGCGCGAGGTTGAACTCGAAGACATCACGGGATCGTCGATCCCGCTGCGGCGCTCTTCCCATCAATTCGACGATTCTGCGGAGCTACATTCAGATGACGGACTTCGGAGGACAAGCATCTCCGAGATGCTGGATGTCCCAGGCAAGTCAAGACATTCTGGCGGGATTGAGTTGCCATTGTTCTAACAGGGTCACGTAACAGAAGACAAGCCTCTCATGTCTCCAGACTCGTTTGATAAGGATGCTCTAAATCCCACTGCGGCAGACCTGGAGACTCTTCCCCGTGTCGCCGATAAAATCCCTTGGCGGGTCTACACGGTCGCCTTCGTGGAACTGTGCGAACGATTTTCCTACTACGGCACGCAAATTCTTTTCCAGAACTTCGTTCAGCGAAGACTGCTCACGCCGACCGGTCGAGCCCCGAATCCGGGCGGGGATACAGACAACAACCCCGGGGCACTAGGCCAGGGCCAGCAGATGGCTACTGGCTTAGGTACTTTCTTTTCCTTTTGGTGTTACGTGACGCCGCTGCTGGGAGCGTGGCTGGCGGACACCTACCTTGGAAGGTAATGCTAATCCCCAACCGGGCCATGGGCTTATCGGAAGTCAACAATTTCTAACGAGGTCTTTCGCAGATATAAGACGATCATGGTGTCGATCGGCATTGCCGTTGTCGGCCACGTCCTCCTAACCATCAGCGCGCTGCCACCTGTCCTAGCACGCACTGAAACCGCTCTCATTTCGTTCATTATAGCCCTTGTCGTCTTCGGTCTCGGGACAGGGGGCTTCAAACCGAACATCTCCCCTCTGATCGCCGAGCAAATTGTGTCAGAGAACCTCCGTGTCTCGATCGACCCGAAGACTGGAGAGCGTGTAATTATCGACCCAGCCCAGACGTCGGCGAGGATCTACAACTGGTTCTACCTCTTTATCAACATTGGTGCCTTGATCGGCCAGATTTCCATGTCTTACGCGGCGTTGTACGTCGGGTACTACCTCGCTTTCCTGCTGCCGACGCTCATGTTCCTCCTCTGCCCCCTCATCCTCATCCTGAATAAGAAGAGATACCGCCTCACTCCTCCGCAAGGCTCGGTACTGGGTCCTACAGTCAAGACGCTCCTCTACGCCGTCCGGCCCCATTGGTCGTGGAACCCTCTTCGCACGATTCGCAATGTCCGCCGGACTCCCACGTTCTGGACCGCCGTGCAACCATCCCGCGTGCCTTCCCACAAGCGCCCATCATGGATGACATTCGACGACGCCTGGGTCTCGGAACTCCGCAGGGGCGTAAAAGCCTGTTCCGTCCTCCTCTGGTTCCCGCTGTACTGGCTCACTTACAACCAGATGAACAACAACCTGACCTCCCAAGCGGACACGATGAGGCACGCCGGGGTTCCGCCCGAGATTGTCTCGAACCTCGATCCTCTGACGTTGATCATCCTCATCCCGATCTGCGACCTGGTCATCTACCCGAGCCTGCGCAAACGTGGCGTGAAGTTGACCCCGATCAGGAAAATCACCTTGGGATTCTGGTTTGGCGGCGCGGCCATGGTGTACGCGGCTCTCCTGCAGAGGTACATTTACACGCACAACGAGTGTGGCTATTATCCTTCCGAGGGGCAAAGAGAAGACCCCAGTGATGGAGGCAGTAACAGTGCGAGCGCCAATCTCAGAGACTGTCCCCCAGCGTCCATTTCAATCGCTTGCCAAGCCCCGATCTACCTCCTCGTCGCCATCAGCGAGATCCTCGCCTCCATCACCTCGATCGAGTACGCTTTCACAAAGGCCCCGCGCAACATGCGCTCCATGGTCCAAGCCTTTTCGCTCTGCATGAGCGCCGTGGCCAACGTCATCGGCGAGGCCTTCCTCTGGCTCGCCCGCGACCCGTACCTGGTCTGGAACTTTGGCGTCATGGGCGCCGTTGCGTTCGTCGCGGGCAGCCTCTTCTGGTGGTTCAACAGGGACCTGGACGCCGAGGAGGACGCCATGAACCAGTTGCCCCACGGGAGCATGGGACGTGGCAGCAATGGCGCACCAGGAGACCGTCAGCATCAGCATCAGCGAATACCCCACCCCGAAAGCAGCGGCTCCAGTCGCGGCGTGGACGCAAGTTGGAGTGACCTGGGCCGAACGTCCAACGAGTCCCGTGAGAATCTACTAGACGATAAAAGGCTTCGTTGAGTAGAGTTGATCTGTGTGAGAGGAGGAATCTAGAAGAAGAAGAAGAAGAAGAAGAAGAAGAAGAAGAAGAAAGAGCGAACCCGGCACAGGCTCACAGGCGAGCTGGAATTCCATGCACATTGCGTCTGCGTCCTCCCAGCAGGGTATGTTTTGTGTTAGATTAGATATGTAGAAAGTTCATCTCGTCAACGGTATGGGATTCTCATGACACTTCAAATGTTGCTTTGCTCAAAGGGCTCGAGAAGTCTGAGCAAGCCCGACTTTTGGGGTTCTGGTTGCAGGGTCTCCTGAACACGAAGGGGACATCCCATTTATGTTATGTCTGTTTGACGATTTATCGTGGATAACGGTGGATGTGGTAGAGTCTTCGACAATCCATGATTTTGTCTGTATTTCAGTCCATCTAGCAAGATATCCATGTCTTGGAAATCTCGAGTTGGATTCCTTGAACATTCGATCGGTCTGGTGATATTACAATCACCAACTCAGATTTCTAGCAGCCCTCCATTTGCCAACATTTGGGTTTCAAGAGATCTCTCTTGACATGGTACTTCCTATCAGTGTCTCTTCCGCTTCAGTACATTGGCCTGCATGCCCAGGTAATTTGTTGAAACTTTTCTTCCGATATTCTGTACAGGGTTTCTTCAATAAATCAACGTATCTCGGTCAACGCGTCCATGATCCGGTCCAGTCGCCAGCCATGAGCAAGATATACCCCTAGTCACACACGAGCGCAGGTCGTTCTTGTCCACGGTATTGTTGTTCGTCCAACGTCAGTGATGACCCCCTAAAACTCACCGAAAGCGGAAAGGGCAAACATAAGTCCGAAACTGATTTTAAAGGCCAGATTATCATTGACTGTACTGCGCAGGTCAATGTTCTTGAAGTAGCGCTGTAAGCGCTCCACTGGTATGATATTATATCCTCTTCGTGCGGCAAGTTGCCAAACGACAATGCCCAGTCCGATCAGTAATGTCAAGCTTGTGGAAAAAGCCGACACCACCAGTCCTGCGGCCAGTCCTAGTATGGAACCCAAACTTATTTGCTTGACAGCAGCGGGATTGATTGTCTTTCCATCTTTTGTGAGGGGAACCTTGGGTCCGCGGGAATTTGAGGAGGTGCTGCTAAACTCAGCGGTACCCGCGGGAGGTGGTGAATAGGGTGAAGAGTCGAGCCTAATGATGGACGAAGATTGGATGAAAGGCAGGGAGGCCGTGAGTCCGAATGCAACAAGAACAGGTCGCTTGAGAGCAGGCCGTGCTAGAGGAGCAGATATCGATTTCAAGGCCGAAGGAAAGGAGAGGGAGGGTCGTATTACGGTTCGCAGTAGCATCGTGCTTGGTTGAGTCCAAAGGATCTCGACAACGGAAAAGGGAAGCAACGCCCTGGAGGGTAGGAGGAGATGCTGACTACTTGGGGCAAAGACGTGTAAGCAGAGAGGGTAAATGTAACTGCTAAGATGTGGGAACGAGCTGAACAGCCAACAGACGAAATCGATGTGCAGAGAGTTGAGGATAGAAGTGAGTTGAGGAGTGACTTGGAGTAAGAAGCCGCGGAATCGTACCCAGCACCCTAGGAAGTAAGTACATGATGTCATTGGCCGCAGGTACGGCAGACTTGCGGTTGGGTACAGAGTCACGAGCCACCAAAGAAGAGGCACCAAAGCTGCCTGCGCCCGCCACCATCATCCCCAACTCACCAAGTTCCGCAGTATCCTCATGTCACTCATCAGTCATATCTCCCGGCCTGATTACGGGAGTCTTTACAAGCACCGGGAGGTCTAGTTTGCTTGGGGCAGTTTCTTCGTCCAACCATGCACACGCTCGCCTTTTCCCGAGCCAGCGACTGAATCCCCATACCGGCTGCCGGAGTCTAGAGCCATGGATCCTTCGGGGTTCCAGTCCCTCGACATGTTCCGAAGGCACGAATGCCAGCAAACTCTTTGCCGAACCTTTGGGGGGAGTGGACCGACATCATGTTGACTTCTTACGGCATCCCAGTTCGTTACCCATCCCGCAGGGTCAGATGGGTGGAGTCTGGGGAAAGGGGGTATTTCCGGAATTCTGACTATATATGGTGAAGACACGACATTGAGGGAGGTCACATACCTTCCATCACACTGAGTCTTCTCATCTCATCAGTGGATTTAAAGCCAGCCCTCAGACACAGACACAGACACGAAGATGTCAGGCTCAGTGACTACCAACGGCATGCCCGAGATCACTTCGAAAGTGGTGGAAACACCACTCCTCATCGTTGGTGCGGGGCCAGCCGGTGGCTCATTGGCGTGCTTCCTTTCCCATCCGCCCTATTCAATGACTGGTATTATAATTGCTGCCGCAGCGACAACCTCACAGACACCGAGGGCGCACATTACGAATCCAGCCGCTTTCGAATGTCTCCGGGATATCGACCTAGAACAAACTTGCCTATCCCAAGCAGTGGAGGGCGACTGTATGGTTCACACCCGCTGGTGTCATGATATGACTGGTGAAGAGTATGCTCGAATTTATTCGTGGGGCAATGACCCGAAAAGACGTGGAGAATACGAAGCAGCCACTCCTTGCCATCACGTCGACTTGCCTCAAACGATCTTTGAGCCTATTTTGGTTCAGCGAGCATCGGCTCAAGGCTGGGATGTCAGATTTCGGACCAGCTTCGTCAGTTACGAGAAAGAACAAGACGGAAAAATCCTGAGTCGAGTACGAGATGACTTGACTGGTGCCGAATACTATATTCGCTCTCAGTATCTGTTTGGATGTGATGGAGCACGAAGCCAAGTCCTGCGAGAGGCCAAGATCCCGTTGATCAGAAAGCCAGGCCAAGGATTGGCTTTGAATGTCTTGGTCAAAGTGGATCTCAGTGATTACGTTGAGGCCAGGAAGGGAAACCTACACTGGGTATTTCAACCCGAAAAAGAGTACCCAGACTTCGCTTGGAGCGGGTTGATCAGGATGGTCAAACCCTGGAATGAGTAAGCAAGACCCTCATTTCTTGCGTCGTACAGCAGTTTCTAACCAAAGGCTCCCAGATGGATGTTCATTCTCTTCCCCAAACCTGGGACAGAGTGGAAAGAGCCAACCCGGGAGCAATACCTCCAAAGATGCAAAGATATCGTTGGCCGAGCTGACATTCCCTTGGAAATCCTTGATATCTCCAAATGGAACATCAATGAGATCGTGGCAGAGTACTACTCCGAAGGAAACATCTTCTGCCTCGGAGACGCCGTGCACAGGCACCCTCCCTTCAACGGTCTAGGCTCCAACACCTGCGTGCAGGATGCTTTCAATTTGGCATGGAAGATTAAATACGTCACCCAGGGCCTTGCGTCTCCCTCTATTCTCGAGACATTTAGTCACGAACGGCAACCCGTTGGCTTGGGTGTAATTACCCGAGCGAATCAGGGTATCCGGGATCACGTTCCTGTCTGGAAAGAGATGGGTCTGATGGAAGAAACACCAGAGAAGAGAATGGAAGTCCTCAACAGTCTCAAAACAGCAACACCTGAGGCCCGGGAACGGCGAAAGCGAGTCAATGCCGCAATCGAGTGGACGAGTCAAGAATTCCATGGTATCGGTGTGGAGATGAATCACCGCTACGAATCGACAGCCGTATACCTTGACGATGAGATCAAGGCCGGTACTCCCAAGCCTGAATGGCCCAAAGATGCTGTTCTACATCACAAAGTCAGCACTTACCCCGGCCATCGGCTGCCTCATGCATGGCTGAATCGAACCATACCCGTCAAAGATCACACCTCGACAATTGACTTGGCCGGGAAAGGGCAATTTTGTCTGCTTACCGGTATTGGAGGCGAGAAGTGGGTCGAGGCTGCCGAGAAAGTTGGCAAGGAGCTTGGAGTGCAGATCAATGCCCACACGATCGGATGGGGACAGGAATGGGTCGATGTATATCGGGATTGGTGAGTCTTCCCCCACGCGTGACAAAGCTTCCATGACTGACTTGTACTGCGAACAGGGAGCGCAAGAGAGAGATCGAGGAAGATGGATGTATTCTCGTCAGACCCGATCGGTTCGTTGCATGGCGATCAACAGGCCTTCGAGATGACAGTACCGAGAAGTTGAGCGAAGTAATGAAGAGAGTCCTCGGACGGTCATAGCCATGATCTGTTTGATTCATTCCTGTGTTTTCGGGTTCGGTCTTTCAAAGAGGCGTGCTGAGCAGACTTTCGGGGCATGGATTGAGACATTATACATTTCAGACTGTATAATGTGCGTCGCATAACTTGTATAAACTGCCAAATTGAGCAGGTCTCTCCTGAAGAGATCCATTTTGAACGATTCAGCGCTACGAAGCAGTGAAGCACAATAAAGTTGCCTGTAGATCGATGTAGGGAGAGCGAAGCCACAGATCCTCAGGAGTCCTGTAATCATTTCTCGTACCGTTTCTGGTATTGATACTTCTACACGGCCCTCATCCCTCGTCCTTTGCCTTGCAGGGAGGAGTACCCACCAAAATTCACAGACCCACCGGTTCAAAAATCACATTATATGGATCAAAGCATCCGAAATTGGGTCAGGAATTCGCACAGAGAATATTCCCAACAACAGGGTTCACTGCCCTCCTCTGAGGTCACATCCAGATGTGATCTCGAGGTTAAGAGATCGCAAGATTGGTTCAATGGTAGAATTCATCGTTGCCATCGATGAGACCCGTGTTCGATTCACGGATCTTGCAAGCCTTTTGTTTTTGCTCTGTTTCTTGACTCAGGTTGCTTCTTTTTGGAAGTATTGATTGCTAGTGTTGAAGATGGAGGCTATGTAGCTAGTTAGGACGACCGATTAATTCTCAGGCCGTTTGTGTATCAGAGGGGAAACCTCCCAGGGCTCGTAACAGGTAACCCGTCTAGTCTAGACTGCTTTGGTAGGAATCACTTGGCCAGCTAGGGCGGAATGTCTGCGTGGAACTGGAGGATGATGTGTGCGTGTGTGCATGCAGGAAAAAAAATTTCTTTGTTTAGGTGCATCCGCAGATTCCAC